CTAGTGCGCGGGAGCTGGCCGCGCGAGGCGGCCCGGGCCGGGCGGCAGCATGCGGGGCGGTGAAGAGCTGGACGGCTTCGAGGGCGAGGCCTCGAGCACCTCCATGATCTCGGGCGCCAGCAGCCCGTACCAGCCCACCACCGAGCCAGTGAGCCAGCGCCGCGGGCTGGCCGGCCTGCGCTGCGACCCCGACTACCTGCGCGGCGCACTCGGCCGCCTCAAGGTCGCCCAAGTGGTAGGTGCCGGGCGGGGCCCCAGGTGCTGGGCGGCGGCCTTGCCGCACTCCTTCCCTCTCTGTTCTCGCTTCTGGGGCTCAGGCCCGGCCGGCCTCTGCAGCGACCCCGGCTTTCCGGGCTCAGACCTCCACTTTCCCCTCCTCTCCCTCGCGAGGTCCCCGGGCTGCCCTCCCGCATGCGCTGGGGACTCTGCCCTCGACCAGAGCCTGCCTGTTCCAGCCCCTGAGCCTCAGGTGTGCGCCTCCTACCTGGACACCTGCCCTCGGGCCTACCTGTCCACTCGCGCCCTCGCATATTGGGCGTGGTGGTGCGCGGAGCCCGGCCCGAGGGCCATGCTGTCCCCTGGGTACTACTGGTCATAACAATTTGTAGCAGGTTTTTGGGGCCACACAGCTGTTAACCTCTCCTCACTGCCTATGTCTGTGTCTGCCTCCACGGCTGGGGGTTTTGTGTTTGCTTGGTTTCCTCCCCTGCGCCAAGCAGAGTGCCGTGCATATCGTAAACACTCAATATTGGTTGAATGGGGGAGACATGTAGCGCAGATGCTGTGGGGGAGCCCAGATCAACCCACAAAGTCTCCAGTTTATACTGCAGAGTTCTGATTCCTCCTAATTAACCGAGAAGACAGAACAGGCATCCCTGAGTGCTCCACCCCAGCTGAGTGTCTGGCACCGCCCAGTTGGTACCCAGAGTTAAATCACTCTGAGAGGGTAGCCAGTGTTGGAGGAAACCCATAGAACTTTCTGTTGGACTTGTCCGTAGGGGAGCATATTTCTCAGGGTCCTTATTTTTAGCTTTCAGGATGTTCAGTGCTATGGGCTCTGCCCTTGTCTTGTGGCTTTGTAACAGGCCTCTCTGGGCAGTTGTTTAGCTCTGTTGTGGACAGGGCATAGGCCAGCTCAGGAAAAACTATCTGTCCCTGATGTCACAGGTGGGCCTTCCTCTGCCACCCTTCAACAAAACTTTAGAGGCTTCTCAGCCAGGAGAGCCATTTGCATGGAGCTGCCGTGCATGTGCATTTAGTTTGTTCCAAGCACCAGTCTTCTTGGGCTTACTTGAGTGTGTACAGACAAATATTCCTTGGGAATAATATAATGTGTCGACACCCTTTAAATAAAGCTCTCAGTGTTTGTAAATCGCAGAATCATAGACTGTTTATCTCTCTCCTGGGTGAAAGGCTTGTTCTGCTGATTGCCAGAAGGTAATTTTGAAGGACTCTAAGGAAAGATAAATGGAGCAGGTTATCCTCTAGAATTTTAAACCGACCTTATCTGGTAACCTGGAATGCTCTCAGAGGTATATTGGTTCTGTAGTTAGGCACTGCTGCTAGCAAAAAGAATGGGGGTGGGGGGATGTTTTTAAAAGAGGCATACATACGGAGAATCTGAAATGAATCAAAAAGAATAGGGCGGGAACTTGGACTGGGCCTGTGTTAAGTGCTTTGCTTTGTTTACTCCCTGGGCTTTTGAAAGTAAATAGAACTTGCCCTTGGCAAACGTGAAATAACTTGTCTCTCCAAGGATCTGGTGAAAGTTAAAATATAGTTGTTGTTAGGTTCTGACCTATACAACAGAGGGAAACACTGCCCTGTCCTGCGCCATCTTCACAATCGTTTCTATGTTTGAGCCCATTGTTGCAACCACTTTGTCAGTTCATCTCGTTGCGGGGTCTTCCTCTTTTTCGATGACCATCTGTAATACAGTAGTTTGTAAAAAATGTTAATTATTGCCTCTTTGCTGGGACTTTGGCATCTAAGGTTGGGGATGGAAGCCAGGGTTATTTATCATTGCCTTTTGGTTAGGTAGGAGCCCTGGTGATGTGGTGGTTTAAGAGCTAGGCTGCTAACCAAAAAAAAGGTTGGCTATTCAAACTCACCAGCCGCCCCAGGGAGGAAAGATGTGGCAGCCTGCTTCTGTAAAGAAACCCTGTGGGGCGGTTCTACTCTGTCCTATAGGGTTGCTATGAGTCGGTAGCGATGGGTTTGATTTGATTAGGTGCTATTTTGTTGTAGAGTTTTACTTTTCATCTGAAAGAACTTTTGGACCTAGCCCCTAAGATCTTGCCTGACTGCCAGTTGTCTAATCTCTAGAATTTGAAAAGCTTGAGGCTTCGCTTGGGAGAGTGAACGAAAGAGATCTGCTTGAAGGGTATGGCAGCTTGGAAGAGTCTTTCATGTACTTGAGCTTCTCACTCTTGGTAAATATTAGGGAGCTTAGGAGGAAAACCTCCCCCCAAAACTCAATATTGCACTCTGAATTTGAACTGATAAAGAAAACTAGTCGTTGTAAAGATAGTCCTAAAATGTTACAAGGAGCCCCTGGGTGGCACAGACCGTTAAGGGTTTGACTGCTAGCCAGAAGGTTGGTGTTTGAACCCACCCAAAGGTGCCTCAGAAGACAGGCGTGGCAATCTGCTTCCGAAAGGTCAGGGCCTTGAAAATCCTACGGAGCAGTTCTACTCTGCACACATGGGGTCGCCATGAGTTGGAATTATCTTGATGGCAATTAACAATAACAACAAGATGTTACAAATCTCAGAATCTCATCCAAAAATATAGTTAAGTTCTAATTCTGTGGTTTCTGAGAAAAATTTGAATTTTTATAGACCCTTTTTTTTTTTTTTTTTTTTGTAGTTTGTGGCCTATTCCAATCTGTACACCGTGCTGCTCAAAAATGTAGTCCATCCATAGACCTCGCCATCACCAAAGAGCTTGGTATGAATTTCAGACTCCGAGGCCTCTTCCCAGACCTTCTGAATCAATTTGCATTTTAACCAGCCCTCCCCAGGTGATTCACATGCACATTAAAATTTGAGAAGTGCTGTACAGTTCTATACCATTTTAGTGCAAAAAATCTCACATGGTTGCTAGCAATCAGCTATCGACTAGAACCATTTAATAGTTAACAAGATTTTTCTGAATTATAATAAAAACCTTTGCCTTTCCGACCCAATGGGACAGAGTAGAAGTGCCCTGTAGGGTTTCCAAGGCTGTAATCTTTAACTTGGAAGCAGGCTGCTACATCAGCTGGTGGGTTTGAATTGCTGACCTTTTGGTTGGCAGCTGAGCACTTAACCACTGCACCACCAGGGCTCCTTGAGTAATAGTAATAGCAGGCATTTAGGGTGTGCTTACCCTACTGTTACCGTCCTCATTTTATGGATGAGGAAATTGAGGCACAGAGGTTGTGATTTAGTTCAAGGTCACATGGCTAGTGGGCTGCTGAGCTGGGATTTGAACCCAGGCAGTCTGGTTTCAGAGTGTGCTCTTTACTGCCTCTTGAACGCATGGTTTTGAGTTGCTCCACACAGCAGTGCAGAAGACCTTGAGACCAAGAACATCTCTGGGTTCTTTGGGCAAACCGGCAAGCTTATGGGTGAATTTTTAAATGCCAAAGTGACATACTTAAAAGGGTTTGATTTCTCTGTGGGTGGGGTAGTGTGCTGCTCTGTGGTATCCTGCTCCTCACCCAACAGGCCTGCCCCTTCCAGTGAATGGGAGACTCTCAAAAGTGCCAGGAGCAGCTTCAGCTTTACAGCTTCTGAAGGACCCCTCGGGGGCTCTTGTTGCTTCACACCCCTTCCTTGAGCACCTCCCATGCCTGATTGACCTTTTGACTTTGCATTTGTTCAGGACTTTTTATAAAACCTAAGGTCAGGAACCTTGGTGGTATAATGGTTAGGTGCTCAGCTGCTAACTTAAAGGTTGGTGGTTCAAACCCACCAGCTGCTCTGCGGGAGGAAAACCTGACGATCTGCTCCCATAAAGATTACGGTCAAGAAAACCCTATGAGGCAGTTCTACTCTGTTATATGGGGTCACTATGAGTCGAAAATCAACTTGGCTGCACCCAGCAACAACAGTAACAAAGTCAGGAAACAGTTGTTTAAATTCAAACTTTAGCTCTGCTGATCTTCTTGAAATCTCTTACTCTGTAGTGACTTAGCTTCCTCAGTAGTAGAATGTAGATGTTAATAACTGATTAGGAGTTCCTGACTGGTGCAAATGGTTAATGAGCTTAGCTGCTAACCGAAAAGGTTGGAGGTTCAAGTCTACCCAGAGGTGCCTTGGAAGAAAGGCCTGGACATCTACTTCCAAAAAATCAACCATTGAAAACCCCATGGAGTCCAGTTCTACTCTGACACACATAGATCACCATGAGTCAGGCCTGACCCTATGGCGGCTCATTTGGTCTACTGGTTTGATGACTGATTGAGCATTTCAGGAATTGTTCAGGGATTAATGTTTAATAGGTGCTTTCTTAGGTAACATATCTTTTATTTGATGGAAACCTTGTCAGTTTTTCATCTGAAGCCAGTCAACACATAGTCCTGAAAGGTTTCTGCTCTCTGAATATGTACTTGGGAGGGGTGAGGGCAGGATGGGGCATAATGCAGTGGGTTTTACTGCCTTGGGTTCTCAGATCCACCATAAAGTGGCTCCTTGGAAACCAGTCCTGTGTTCCCTTAGGAAGAATGTTGTTACCTTTGGGAATCAAATAAACCCTAGCAGAAAAGCAAAGTTATAACCACTCTTTAAGTTTTTATGATGATTAAAAGTAAAATTATCATCTAAAATCTCAGGAAAGGGCATAAGTGTATAGTACACATCTATTTTAAAAATTGCCCCCGTTACATCCATGGCACATGAAGTCACCTTTGTTTAGAGGTTGTGTGTGTTTAGAGGTTTTGTGTGTGTGTGTGTG